CACCGCGTCCTGCAGCCGCCTCACCCTGCGCGGCCCCTCTGCCCCGCGCAGGACCCGCCGCCCCCGCACCCTCAGCGCCCCGAGCAGCCCTGCGCTGGGGTGCAAGCCCACCCCAAGCGGCCGTCTTCCCTCCCCTTCCCTGCTCCCAAGTTTGCTGTTCTCCACCATGCGCCACGGCTCACCAACACGCCCCTGCTGCCGCAGCATCACCAGCCCTGGCCTCTTCCTTGGCTGGAGGAGCTGCCTCCTTCCAGTGTCTTTCCTGCTCTCTGGTCGGCTGGGAGCACTATTCCCTGCTTCACCCGTCTCCTGCTGTCCAGGCCACCCCATCAGGTGCCACCAAAGACTGGATGTGCCCAAACCTGCTGCTGCACAGGCTGCTCAGTCACCTCCCTGGCTACTCATGGGGCAGACGCAGCCCAGGTCTATCCTGAGATGCTTCCCCTGCTTCTCCATCCGCCCTTCTGCTCTGGTCCTTCAGTTGGTCCAGCTCAGCCAAACTAGGCTAAGCCTACTTCCTATCCTCCTGCTTAGGATGATAGCCGGGGCTTACAGCAAAAGGAGGAAGGGGAGGCTGAGGGCAAAGCCCTGCTCCTCCTCCTCTCCTAGAAAGCAAGCAGCCCCTCCTTCAGCTCTTGCGGCTGCAGGCCTTGGGAAAACGCACCCAATTTCTCCTCTGACCTGGGCAATATCCTGCCTTGCCCCCCTTGCTCTGGAGGCCTCCTTTGCGCTACCAGCACCGCAATAAATGTGTAGGCTGTTCAGCTTCCCCCTCACCTCCTCCTTAAAATGCTACTGCCAGCATCAACCRCCTCACCAGCTAGGACACCACCTGCGCCAGCATCCTCAGGTGCTCCCGTGCTCCTGTGCATCCGAGCTCGGGATCCGAGCAGCTGCTGACAGCACTACCCTGCAGCCCCTTATCACAGCTTGCTCCGGTAAATGTGTGCAAGGAAACCCTCGGGACGCTGCGCCCGCCTTTGAAGGCGCAGGTAGGAGTGCGCCTGCAGACATCCCCGCGTGTCGATCCTCACTGATACGCGTATCCACAACCCGAGTGCTGCAGCAGTGGGAGTGGGGATTAGGTTGCAGCGGAGGGAGAAGGACGCATGGCTTTCCCAGGCCATGCTCCCGACAGGGAGCGTTGGGCTGTGGAGTGAGAGCTGGCTGGGATGAAGAGGTGAAATTGAGTGCTGGGGGTCCGAATACCAAGGCAGGGAGTGGGCAATGGAAACGGCAGCGGGACTTCAGAGGAGGTGAAATGGAGCTACTTGAGGAAATGGGCTTTGGGGATGCTTTGTTCCTGGCAATACGTTTCTTGTGAGGCATATGGATAGGGAGAGGTGGGAGGCAGGCAGTGGTCCCCAAGCTGCCCAGCCCAGTTCCTGCAAAGCAGCTCTATTTACAGAGCCAAGATACGGGCGTCGAGGAGGRGATTCCTGCGCCGGGCTTAGACCTTGCTCTACTATGCTCTGATCCCTGCCATGCCATCCCTAGAGGCGTCTCGGGTGGAACAGCTGCTGGGTCAGAATTAGGAAGGATTTTTTCCTAGCCATAAGAATCCCTCCAGAGCTTTTCCCTCTGCTGAAGGAAATCCCACAAAGTGGAAACCTGGAGCAGCAATGGGAATGACGTGTCAGGGCCGCGCGCTCATGCCGCTCCCCACCGTGGGCCAGCGGCAGCCCCCCTCCGGCACCGCTGTCCTCCCCGCTCGCCGGCCTCCCTGCTCCCTGTCCTCCCTGCTCGCCGCTGCTGCTCCCGAGGCAGACTCTTTACCTGGCAAAACCAGCTGGAGCTGCTTCCCTTTCCTCCGGCGTCTGGGACCTGCACCTTGGAGACAGCTGGACATCAGGGGCAGGGAGCAGATGCTGGGCTGTGGGAACAGGTGATGTGGCCTCTTCTCCGCCCAGGCACCTTCCCCGCAGCAAGGCGAGAGAGAAACTCTTTCCTGTGCGGAAGCCCACGGAAACTCACTCCTTCCTGCCCACTCTAATCCCTCGAGAGAGGTCGGGGAGCGGCACCAACCAGCTGGAGAGAGACAGCAAAGAGCTCGGAGCTGCCAGCTCGGATTATCGTCGCGTTGTGCGGCTCTCGCGCCGCGGCGCCCGCTCCGCCTTGGCCCCGCTGCCCGGGGGCTCTGCAATAAAACAAATGTTCCCCCCACCCCATCCCGCCCCCCTTGCTTGTCCCATTCCACCCCAGCCCACAACAAACACGGGCAGCGCGCGGCCCTGCTGCCATGTAACCCAACCCTGGCCATTGTCCCCCCTTCCCCAAGGTCTATATTTGACTCTGCGGCAGCACCGCGTCCGTGTGCTCGTGTGTGTGTGTCCACCRCACGCGCACGCTCCGATATTTGTTCAGAGCCTCATTCCCCAGATGCCCGGGATTGCTTGGGAATAGCTTCCATGGGCAGTAGGTGTT